TCGGCCGCTGCTCGGCGTCCAGCGCGGAACTCGCCGAACGACCAGCGGCGGCGGCGGTGGTCACTGTCGGCTTACATCGGGCATGTCATTCTCCAGGCGGAACAGTTAAAAATGGTCGAAACATCGAATGGCGACAATTTTTCAACTATTTGGGACTACTTTTGAGTTTTTCTGGTCTGCCTACTTTTTCTTTTCTTCCTAGATCCGCCTTTCGGAGGACATGCCCGCCCTAACACTCGGCGGCGGAGGGCGCCGCAGGTGGGGCCTTCGGGCGGCGCCGCCCCAGCACCGCCGAGTGGCGGCGCCGCCGGCGCGGCGCTGCGGGGAGAGGTGGACATGCTGCTGGAGGAGCCCGCCGCCGCGCCGCCGCTCGCAGGGCCTCCTTCCTCCTCCTCCTCCTCCTCCTCCTCCTCCTCCTCCTCCTCCTCCTCCTCCTCCTCCCCCTCCTCCTGCTCCTCCTCTTCCTCCTCCTGTTTCTCCTCCTCCTCCTCCGCCTCCTCCTCCTCCTCTTCCTCCTCCCCTCGAATGCCGCATCCCTCCCTCGTCGCCTCGGCTGGACATGCTCGCAGCCCGAAGAGGTCGGCACGCGAGATTCTTGGTCGTTTGGGGCTTCGGGGGGCACTCGCCGTTCCCGTGGAACGGGTCGGGACTTCCAGGGACACCAGCACCGATGTCGGCGGTGTGTCTCCGCCGGGGGAAGAGGATCCCGACCTCGGTGATGGTGGTAGTGTTCGGGCTTCTTTGGGAAACCCTGTTCGTCAGCGCGCCCCCCAGGGTGGGCACGCGAAAAGGCCAGCAGCTGTTCCACTCGCAGTGACCCGTAGGGACTCGTCTGAATCAGCGAGCCTCTCTTACGGGGCCACCTCGGAGCTCGCCCCCTTGACCTTAGGGGTATGCCCCCTGCCAGCCCCATGAGAAGTCTGGGGCTGCGGCATAATCTCATCTCAGGGAGTTTGCTAGTTGCACGCGCAGCTCCTTCGTAGGTTCTGACGGTGGCCCCCTTATGCGGATGACCATGACCATGACCTCCTCCTCTTCCTCCTTCTCCTCCTCTTCCTCCCCCTCCTCTTCCTCCCTCGCCTCCTGCGCCGCCCGTGTTCTATGCCTGCCTGCCTCCCCTGGTGTCCCTCCTTGCCTGCCCGCCCGCCCGGCTGCACTCCTTCCCTTCTTTCCTTCCTGCCACATCGATTCAGTAAGGCGCTTGAAGATGTCTGGGAGCTGGGAATCCAAACATACCTACTTCCAGCCTCCTGCATGTATGTTTTTCTTGTTTTTGACCGTGCTCCTCCTCTGCCTTCCCCCCCTGCAAGTGGCCGGGGCAGCAAAGACTGCCGCGAGCAGGCGGCGCGAATTGCGGCCTTGGCGGGTCCCGGGCTCCATGCGGCAGCCCCCAGCCCGGCGTTAGAGTCTGCAGGGTCTGCGGGGGCTCTGCTCAGGCTGAAGCTTCACCGTGTGGGTGCGTCTCCTCCTGCTGCTCCTCCTGCTGCTGCTCCTCTTCCTCTTCCTTCTCCTCTTTCTCTTTCAAGTCCTCCAGCTCCTTCAACTCTTCCTCCTCCTCTTCCTCCTCCTCCTCCTCCTCCTCGTCCGCGTCCTGGTCGTCGTCGTCCTCCTTCTCCTTGTTCTCTCTTTTCAGCCTCCATCCTCCTTCATATTTTGTCCTTGTAGATGCTCCGTGCGTGTCGCACCCCTGGGCGTCTCAGCAGTGCGGGCCAGACGTTTTGCTGGACACTTCTTCGCCATGAAGCATGGAAATTGCTACAGCGCAGGGATGGAGCACATGAGTTTTTGAAACATATGTTGCATTAGCGCCGCGGACATGCGTGTTACCAGTTTCCAGCTGTTTCACAGCTGTTTCAAATATGGTAGGGCATTTTGTGGTTGTTGTTGTTGTTGTTGTTGTTGTTGTTGTTGTTGTTGTTGTTTTGGTTGTTGTTGTTGTTGTGGTTGTTGTGGTTGTTATTGGTTTGTCTTGTTGTTGTTGTTGCTGTTGTTATGGTTGTTGTTGTTGTTGTTGCTGCTGCTGCTGCTGCTGCTGCTGCTGCTGCTGTTGTTGTTGTTGTTGTTGCTGTTGTTGTTGTTGTTGGTGGTGGTGTTGTTGTTGTTGTTGTTGTTGCTGTTGTTATTGTTGTTGTTGTTGTAGTTGTTGCTGTTGTTGTTGTTGTTGTTGTTGTTGTTGTTGTTGTTGTTGTTGTTGTTGCTGCTGCTGCTGCTGCTGCTGCTGTTGGTGTTGGTGGTTGGTGTTGTGTTGTTGTTGTTGTTGCTGTTGTTGTTGTTGTTGTTGTTGTTGTTGTTGTTGTTGTTGTTGTTGTTGTTGTTGTTGTTGTTGTTGAACTCTCATTCTTAAAGAATGATTACTGTTGATCCCCCCCACCGGTGCACATTGTTTTTTTCAATTGAAGTGCCCCCCCGGGGCTCGCACCTTGTTTTTTGTCAAGGAAAGTCTTCCTGCTCAAACTGGCCCCCTGGCCCCCGGGTTACAACAACAACGGCTCCCGCTTGAGACTTCCTCACAATTTAGCCAGGACCCCCGCTCCCGCCCGAGACTTCCTTGCATTTTATTCAAGAATCGCGCTCTCGCTTGGGACTTCCTTACGATTTATTCAGGAATCGCTCCTCCTGCGCTCTGGAGTCGCGCTCTCGCTGGAGACTTGCTTGCAATTTACTGAAGAATAGCGCCCTTGCGTTGGAATTTCTTGCAATTTACTCCAGCGCCGCGCTCCCGACACCCAGGCACCCAGGAGTCGCGCTCACGCTTAGGACTCCTTCACAGATTACATAGGAATCGGGATCTCGCTGCCCTTCGTGGCCCCGTTGCAGCCCTTCGTGGCCCCCTCGCTTTGTTTCGTGGCCCCGTTGCAGCCCCTCGTGGCCTCCTCGTTGCCCTTCGTGGCCCCGTTGCAGCCCTTCGTGGCCCCCTCGCTTTGTTTCGTGGCCCCGTTGCAGCCCTTCGTGGCCCCCTCGCTGCCCTTCGTGGCCCCGTTGCAGCCCTTCGTGGCCCTGTTGCAGCCCTTCGTGGCCCCCTCGCTGCCCTTCGTGGCCCCGTTGCAGCCCTTCGGGGCCCACTCGCTTTGTTTCGTGGCCCCATATATGTATGCCCTTCGTGGCCCCCGCTCGTTCGCGCCCGTGGTGGCCCCATATGCGTGCCCTTCGTGGCCCCGCTGTCGCCCTTCGTGGCCCCCTCGCTGCCCTTCGTGTCCCCGTTGCTGCTCTCAGTGGCCCCGTCCGTACCCTCCGCGGCCAAACATACGTATGCCCTTCGTGGCCCCCGCTCGTTCGCGCCCGTTGTGGCCCCATGTGCATGCCCTTCGTGGCCCCGCTTTCGCCGTTTGTGGCCCCCTCATTGTCCTACGTGGCCCAGGTGCTACCCTCAGTGGCCCCATCGTTGCCTTCTGTGGCCCCGCATTATTTGCCCTTCGTGGCCCACGCTCGTTCGCGCTCTTCGCGGCCTCATACTCATTCCCTTCGTGTCCCCGCTGTTGCCCTTCGTGGCCTACTTCGTGTCCTTCGTGGCTCTGCTGTCGTTCTCTCTCGCTCTCGCTTTCGCTCGTCGTCGTCGTCGCCGTCGCCGTCGTTGCCGTCGTCGTCGCCGTCGTCGTCGTCGTCGTCGTCGTCGTCGTCGTCGTGGTCGGTCCCCTGTCCGTCCCTCTTGGGGTCGGGTCGACGGTCCGCGGCCGCCCCGCCGATCAGCGCTGCCGCTGGCCACGCCGACGGTCCGCGGCCGCCCCGCCGCTTGCCGGGGCCCGGCCTGCAGGGAAGAAAGGTCTACCCCCCAAAAGGGGTTCGATCGAAGACGAAAAGGGCGGGTATCGAGGGTTTGGGAAATTCGCGTTATTCGACACTCGAGCACATAAAGGCGGACAGTCTTGAAACGATTGTTGTTGTTGTTGTTGTTGTTGTTGTTGTTGTTGTTATTGTTGTTGTTGTTGTTGTTGTTGTTGTTGTTGTTGTTGTTGTTGTTGTTGTTGTTGTTGTTGTTGTTGTTGAATTCTCATTTCTGAAAAATAATTATTGTAGATCCCCCCTGTCCGGTGCCCATTGTTTTTTTCAATTGAAGTGCTTCCTCCGGGGCTCGCACCCTGTTTTTTGACAGGGAAATCCTTGCGGATCAGATTGCGTTGTTGGGCCCCGGACTACAACAACAACAACGGCTCCCGCCTGAGACGTCCTCACAATTTACTCAGGACCCCCGCTCCCGCCTGAGACTTCCTCAGAATTTACTCCGGAAGGACGCTCCTGCTTCAGACTTTTTCGCATTTTACTCAGAAGCGGCGCTCCCGCTTGAGACTTCCTTAATCAGGACCCCTGCTCCCGCCCGAGACTTCCTCATAATGTGCTCAGGAATGGCGCTCTCGCTTGGGACTTCCTCGCAATTTATTGCAGCAACGCGTTCTCGACGCTCAGGCACCACGCTCGCGCCAAGGACGCCCTCGCAATTTACTTAGGAATCGCGCTCTCGCTTAATACTTCCTCGCAATTTACGCAAACATCCCGTTTGAATGTCCCGCCCGCCCGACCCGCCCGTCAGGGTCCGCCCGCCCGACCGGCGCTCCCGCCTGAGACGTCCGACAATGTACTCGGGACCCCCGCTCCCGCCCAACTCTTCTTTGAGGAATGCGCCCTCGCCTAGGACTTCCTCGAACGTTCACACTCTTACCCTCCTGCCCCTTCCTCCCCATCCAACCTCCCTCCTCCCTCCCCTCTCCCTCATATCCACCCTCCTCCTCCCTCTTCCTCTCTCCCCTCACCCTCCTCCCATAACCCTCCTCCCTCCTCTCTTCGCCCTCCCCTCTCCAGCCTCCTCCTTCCTCCCTCCTCTGTCTCTCTATCTCCAATCGTCCCCCCCCCCTCCTCGCCCCCTCTCTCCTGGCGTGTTCCCCTTTAGCCTCGTCCCTCCCCCTCCCTTCCTCCCACTCTCCCTCGCTCTCCCCCTTCCTCTTCTTGCAGGGCCCGCGCTAATTCCAATGGTGGGCAAAGAGATGCGTGCCCCATCCTCCGAATGATTCCCCGCCCGTTCACGCCCGCTTGTCTAAGCCTGCCCGCCCCCGCAAAAAGAAAGATTCCCCCCAGAAGGGGGTACGCTCGAAGGCGAAGGGGGCGGGTATCGAGGGCGTGGGTATACACGTTGCATGGCACGCGGGCAAGTAAGAGCGAACAGTCTTAAGATGATTGTTATTATTGTTGTTGTTGTTGTTGTTGTTGTTGTTGTTGTTGTTGTTGTTGTTGTTTTGTGTGTGTGTGTTTGGAAACATATGCAACAACTGGCTCTCACCTGAGCGCCGCGGACATTATATATATATGTATGTATAAAATTAATTGAATCTTTATTAGGTAAAAGCGGCCATCGTGTCAAAGCTGGAGCACCGTTTGGTTCATCATGGGGTTCTCGCCCTTGCGCCGCGCACATTTGTCTTAACAGCTTGCAGCCGCTTCAACAACGGATGGGGGTCGCTTTCAGAATGGGGCTTCTCGCTCTCGGCCGCAGACGGTCGTGCTACAAGTTCACCGTCAATGATGGAACGACCTCATTCTAAAATGGGGCTCTCGGCCTAGCCCCACGCACATTCATTTTTGTTGAGATTTTGCAGCAGCTTCGAAGCTTGAGGGGGGTGTCTTCGCTTTCGCGCGATACGTCTTGAACGTTGAGTGCCAGCAGCTTGAACAAATGCACCAGCTGAACGGCAGGACGGTGATCCCTTTTCAGCATGGGGTTCCCGCTCGAGATTTCCTGGACGTCTATGACCAGAAGTGTAGACCCGTGCATCAGTTGCTTACACAGATGGGGGCGGTCCTTTCAGAACGGGGATCTTTCTGGACGCTTCGTTGAACTGTATGATCATAGTCAGGTTGGAAACGAACACACACACAGACACAACCCATCGTCGACTCCCAGGAAAATCTGGGAACATAATTATGGGTAGTGTGTGGGGGGGGGGAGGGGACAAACGTTCAGAAACTATGAGACAATAGGGGGCATCCTGGGACTTGTGTGTATTCATTTGTGTGTCCCTGGGCTCCTTCAAGAATTCATCGTGTCCCCTACCACTCACTGAAAAGGATGTAAGGCGATGCCTTTTCAGAGCGGGCTCTCCCCAGAGCGGCAAGCCCATCGGGTGTGCTGGGCATTTCAAGGGGACGCCTTTTGCAGTGAAAAAGCAGGCTTGTAGGGACCTGTGGGGAGCGGGCTTGAGATGGGAGGGTGGATTACAGCATCGTTGAGGCGTCTTGGGTCTGTTCTGGTTCTTTTCCTCTTCCTGCTGCTCTCTCCTCTTTCCACGTCTTCCGACTCTTCCTCCTGCTCATCCTCCTGCTCATCCGCCACCTCGTCCTTCTAAGTACGCATCTTCCCTTTTTCGATTGCGCATCAGACGATCGGCCTTTTTTGTTGGAGTTCCAGCTCTGCTATGACATGCGTCCGCGGATACATACCAAATGCGCGGACGGGTGGGAGGGGTGAGACGTCAGATGTGGCGCGAGCGTGCCTAGGTTGTCCTCTCTGCTCCTCTCTCCTCTCCCCTCCTCTCCCTTCTGGGCACACTCCTACTTTCCAGGTATCGCATGCCTCTTGTCCGTGTTGCTCCGGGGGGAACTGTCCGCGAGGTATTCCGTGACACCAGCAGGTTCTCGACGAGGGGAAGTCTTATACCAGGCGCACCGAGTCCGTGGCACTGCCGCCTCGCCGGATCACCTCCAGCATGCGACGCTTGAGATCACTCGCCGTGAAAAATAGGCCCTCCTCTCTCCATCTCTCCTCCCCTCTCCTCCTCGCCCCCCTTCTCCTCTCCTCCCCTCTCTCCTCTCTCCTCTCTCCTCTCTCCTCCCGGTGAACAAAAGATATCCTCCTCTCTCCTCTCTCCTCCCCTCTCCTCCCCCCCTGTTCCTGGGTTCGAGTACCTTGCCGCCGCCTCGCGGAAGGTGCCGATCCGCCCCCGTGGGCGGCAGGAGGGCGTCCGCCGCTCCCTTTAGCCCTCGCGAGAGGATGGAGGGATGGATGCTTCTTCGTTTATGTCGGACATGTCCCTCTACAGGAGGAATATTCAAAAGTAGTAAAACAAATAGGCAGGGTACGATTCGTCTACAACTGACTCGTCTGTATTTTTCGTCCCAAATCCGCCTGTATGAGGACACGCCCGACCTAATTCTTGGGTTCGTTACCATTCTCGTTCTCATTCTCGTCCCCCCCCCCTCTCCCCCCCCCTCTCCTCTCTCGCCCGGCTCCCCAGCTGCGGCCCCGCCCCCCCCTCCGCGCTCGCGGGCCGCCGCGCGCACCCCCGGGGCAGCAGGAGCGGGCGATCGTGCGGCAGCACCTGGAGGCGCCGCCCCCCCCCCGACCTGCCGGTGCCGGTGGAGGGGGGAGGGGGCGGCAGGGTTGTCGCCGCGCGATCGCGCGGCTGGACGTAAGCGGTAAGGCGGGCATGCCCCTCTGCAGGAGGAATGCTCAGAAACAGTCAAGGAACAAATGAGGGGGCCGATTTTTCGGCTATGTTTGATTTGTGTGACTACTTGTTCCCCACATCCTAAGTGGGGTTCTTGTTTTCTCTGCACACCTTCCGCGCAGGATCTCCTCCTCCTCCCTCTCCTCTGCTCCTCTTTGCTTCCTCCTCCGTTCCTCCTCCGCATCATCATCACCATCACCATCACTCCCCACTCATCATCATCATCACCATCAGCATTACCATCACCATCGCACGATCACTCACCATCATCGGCACCGAACGATCATCATCATCATCATCATCATCATCATCATCATCATCATCATCATCATCATCATCATCATCATCATCATCATCATCATCATCATCATCATCCTCACTACTCGCTGACTTGAGGCCTGAATATGATCCCGCCTCGTCTGTGAGTGAATTGTTGTCGCTTCGCGAATCCCCACCAGCCCATCCAGAAACGATGCCCAGAGGAATTGCCTCGATCAGAGAAGTGGGCAGCACACAGAGGAAGCCATTATGAGACATCTTGGGATATCTTGAGCCATCTTGGAGGTCATTTTGGGCTCTCCCAGACGCTCTTGGAGTCATCTTAATCCGTGCCCCCCCCCAAGAGGCCTCCATGTGGCTAAAACCTGTGTAGAATCAATGATTAGGCATTCTCGCCGAGGCCTCTTGGAGCATCTTGGGTGCATCTGGGGGGGCTCTTGGGGCCTCTTGGGGGTCTCTTGGGGGCCTCCGGGGGGCCTCTTGGGGGCCTCTTGGGGCCATTTTGGGGCCATCTTGGGACCTCTTGGGGCTTCCTGGGCGCTTCTTGGGGCCATCTTGGAGGGAGTCGATCAAACAAGAGGGGGGGGTGAATTAGCGCCCCCCCTCGGAAGCCCCTAAAATCGCCTCTTGGACCCCTCTTGGAACGCTCTTGGAGTGCTCTTGGGCGCTCTTGGGGCCGTCTTGGGGCTCTTTTGGGGCTCTCTTGGGGCCCTCTTGGGCCATCTTGGAGCCATCTCCAGGCCTCGGATGGCCATCGGAAGCGAAAAGGCGAGAAAGCAAAAATCATTGATTTTCCTTAGGTTTTGGGACGATTTTGGCCTCTTCGGGGCCTCCTTGGGGAGCTGTTTGGCCACTTGGAGTTATCTTGGGGCCGTCTTTGGGCTTCTTGGAACCATCTTAGGAGCCATCGTGAGCGATCTTGCGCTATCTTGAGCCATCTTGGAGCTCATCTTGGGTTCTCTGAGGCGCTCTTGGAGCCGTCTTGGGCCATCTGGGACGCTCTAACTACCCGCGGCCCCCCCCGTCCAGGTCCAGGGGAGGGGGTAGGGGGAGGGGTAAACCCCTCCCCAAGGGGGAAGAGGGAGGGGTGGAAGAGGATCTGCTCTAGACCACCTACGCCCAGAGGGCTGGTGGGATTGTGAGGAAGTCTCAGGCGGGAGCCCCCTCCCTATGGGGCCCGCACTTCATGTTGGTAATCCGAGCGGGTCATCCTGAAACCTGTAACTGTCGTCACTTTTGCGCACCTGAGGTTTGATTACTGAGGAAGTATGAGGCGGGAGCCTCGTCTGTGAGTGAATTGCGAGGAAGTCTCAGGCGGGAGCCCCCTCCCTATGGGGCCCGCACTTCATGTTCGAATCCGAGCGGGTCATCCGCAACGTGTAACTGTCGTCACTTTTGGGCTCTTGAGGCCTGAATATGGAGGAAGTCTCCAGCGGGAGCCCCGTCTGTGAGTGAATTGCGAGGAAGTCTCAGGCGGGAGCCCCTTCCCTATGGGGCTCGCATTTCATGTTGGTAATCCGAGCGGGTCATCCGCAACGTGCAACTGTCGTCACTTTTGGGCTTTTGAGGTCTGAATATGGAGGAAGTCTCGAGCGGGAGCCTCGTCTGTGAGTGAATTGCGAGGAAGTCTCAGGCGGGAGCCCCCTCCCTATGGGGCCCGCACTTCATGTTCGAATCCGAGCGGGTCATCCGAAACATGTAACTGTCGTCACTTTTGGGCTCTTGAGGCCTGAATATGGAGGAAGTCTCGAGCGGGAGCCTCGTCTGTGAGTGAATTACGAGGAAGTCTCAGGCGGGAGCTCCCTCCCTATGGGGCCCGCGCTTCATGTTCGAATCCGAGCGGGTCATCCGAAACGTGTAATTGTCGTTACTTTTGGGCTCTTGAGGCCTGAATATGGAGGAGGTCTCGAGCGGGAGCCTCGTCTGTGAGTGAATTGCGAGGAAGTCTCAGACGGGAACCCCCTCCCTATGGGGCCCGCACTTCATGTTCGAATCCGAGCGGGTCATCCGCAACGTGCAACTGTCGTCACTTTTGGGCTCTTGAGACCTGAATATGGAGGAGGTCTCGACCGGGAGCCTCGTCTGTGAGTGAATTGCGAGGAAGTCTCAGGCGGGATCCCCCTCCCTATGGGGCCCGCTTCCCGAGGCGCTGGCCGAGGCGGCGACGGCGCTGAGGAAAATGGATTTGCTTGCCCCGACGAGGGGGAAGGGGAGGTGCACATGGAGAAAAGGCAGGGGGATGAGGAGGGAAGGGGCATGGGGGAGGCCGACGACGAGGAGGAGGTGGCGCGAGAGGAGGAGGTCAGCATCACCATCACCATCGCGCGATCACTCACCATCATCGGCACCGAACGATCATCATCATCATCATCATCATCATCATCATCATCATCATCATCATCATCATCATCATCATCACTACTCGCTGACTTGAGGCCTGAATATGGAGGAAGTATCAGGCGGGAGCCTCGTCTGTGAGTGAATTGTGAGGAAGTCTCAGGCGGGAGCTCCCTCCCTATGGGGCCCGCATTTCATGGTGGTAATCCGAGCGGGTCATCCTGAAACTTGTAACTGTCGTCACTTTTGCGCTCCAGAGGTTTGATTGCTGAGGAAGTATCAGGCGGGAGCCTCGTCTGTGAGTGAATTGCGAGGAAGTCTCAGGCGGGAGCGCCCTCCCTATGGGGCCCGCACTTCATGTTCGAATCCGAGCGGGTCATCCGCAACGTGCAACTGTCGTCACTTTTGGGCTCTTGAGACCTGAGTATGGAGGAAGTCTCGAGCGGGAGCCCCGTCTGTGAGTGAATTGCGAGGAAGTCTCAGGCGGGAGCCCCCTCCCTATGGGGCCAGCACTTCATGTTGGTAATCCGAGCGGGTCATCCGAAACGTGTAAATGTCGTCACTTTTGGGCTCTTGAGGCCTGAATATGGAGGAAGTCTCGAGCGGGAGCCTCGTCTGTGAGTGAATTGCGAGGAAGTCTCAGGCGGGAGCCCCCTCCCTATGGGGCCCGCACTTCATGTTCGAATCCGAACGGGTCATCCGCAACGTGCAACTGTCGTCACTTTTGGGTTCTTGAGGCTTGAATATGGAGGAAGTCTCGTTCGGGAGCCTCGTCTGTGAGTGAATTGCGAGGAAGTCTCAGGCGGGAGCCCCCTCCTTATGGGGCCCGCACTTCATGTTCGAATCCGAGCGGGTCATCCGAAACGTGTAACTGAATATGGAGGAAGTCTCGAGCGGGAGCCTTGTCTGTGAGTGAATTGCCAGGAAGTCTGAGGCGGGAGCCCCCTCCCCATGGGGCCCGCACTTCATGTTCGAATCCGAGCGGGTCATCCGCAACGTGCAGCTGTCGTCACTTTTGGGTTCTTGAGACCTGAACATGGAGGAAGTCTCGAGCGGGAGCCTCGTCTGTTAGTGAATTGCGAGGAAGTCTCAGGCGGGAGCCCCCTGCCTATGGGGCCCGCTTCCCGAGGCGCTGGCCGAGGCGGCGACGGCGCTGAGGAAAATGGATTTGCTTGCCCCGACGAGGGGGAAGGGGAGGTGCACATGGAGAAAAGGCCGGGGGATGAGGAGGGAAGGGGCATGGGGGAGGCCGACGACGAGGAGGAGGTGGCGCGAGAGGAGGAGGACGAGGAGGAGGAGGAGGAGGCGGAGGAGAAAGAGGAGGAGGGAAGGAAGGAGGAGGAGGAGGAGGAGGAGGAGGGGGGAGGTGAGGAGGAGAGGAGGAGTAGGAGGAGGAGGGAGGAGGAGGGAGGAGGGGGGAGGAGGAGGAGGGGAGGAGGAGGAGGAGGCGGAGGAGGAGGAGGCGGAGGAGCAGAGGAGGAGGAGGGGAGGAGGAGGAGGAGGAGGAGGAGGGAGGCGGAGGAGGCGAGGAAGGGAGAGGGAGGAGGAGGAGGAGAGGAGGAGGAGGTGGAGAGGATGAGGGGAGGAGGAGGAGGAGGAGGAGGAGGAGGAGAAGGGAGGAGGAGGGAGGAGGGGAGGAGGAGGAGGGAGGTGAGGAGGAGAGGGAAGAGGAGAGAGGAGGGGAGGGATGGAGGAGGAGGAGGAAGGAGGAGCGGAGGAGAAGGAAGGAGGGAGGAGGAAAGGAGGAGAAAGAGGAGGAGGAAGAGAAATAGAGGGGGGAAGAGAGGGCAGTGCAGGGGGCGAGAGGAGAGGGTGTCCGCCAGGGGGAGGAGGAAAGGGCAAAGGGTAAGCTAAACAGATTCTCATGTGGGGTCCTATCGTCGGAGTAATTATTATTCCCCAAATCCGCCTGTAGGAAGACATGCCCGACCTAACGGCAGGCTTGTCGCCGCGTGAGCGTGCGGTTGGACGTGAGCGTGACCTCTGCCGCGTTTCATCGCAACACCGCCTGTCGCTCTCGCCTGCCAGGGCAAGCCCGGTCTTTTCCGCTCTGCCTCCCCGTCCTGATTTTGTTCACGCGCTGGAGGCGTTCCTCGCCGTTTCCTTTACGTTTTGGGTCGACGCTGGCGAAACGAGCGAACATTCAGGCAATTTCGCTGTGGCAAGAAACGCGTAAGCTTGACCCTTCGCCGGAGTGGCTTTTGGTGGGGGCACAGTGGAATCCTCCGAATGATGATCATGATGATGATGCTGATGCTGAC